TATTCGTAAATTAGGTATATGTACCTTGGATACCAGTGTTTTCTTACGATTCAACGCTATGTGGCGCAAACAACACAGTTTCTGATAAGAAACAATAATAATATTTCTAAGCTGCGATATTTTCAAATCTAAGTCTATTACTTTCAATGCATCCATCTTGCATAATAGTAATCCGATATATATAAATATAATAAGATCGTTGCAGATCGAAAAATCTATTTGCAACTGATGAGAGATCATATTACATTTAAAATATGAGAAATTCTCGAAATCTCAGCCACTGACATGAGAGTGTCCTGAAGGACAAGAACCACTTAGTCTCGCCTAACTACTCAATCCGAGAAGAGCAAGATGCCAAGCACCGCCACTCGAATCTGCGAGCGTCTTAATCGTCAGTGGGAGGACGAAATCTCCAACCTTGTCGCTAGCCACGAAACCTTCGGTGATGTTGCTCGCCATGTTGAGGATGAGGTGGCTCCCCTATCCTTGCAGAGTACACTGGCTCGGGTGGTGACAACACCCTCAAGGGCATGGCAAACTTATCTGCCTCCGAGCTGAATGCACTCTGGGCTCTTGTAGAGTCAAGTGTTATGATTGTACGGGCGCATCGTTGCGGGCGTAAACCTCATGTTTTGGGGAAGGACGATTTGTTCATTACGCTGGCAGTGTTGGAGCATTTCGACATATGGCAGAAACATGCGATTGATTTTAAGATGGGCGTGTCAACGCTGGAGAAAATGGTGCATCGCGTGATCCAGACGGTCGATCCGATGCTGTACACCCAGCTGGCCAAGCGTGTCAAGATGTCGGAGCAGATGGACGCTCGAAACACCTTCACAAACTACCCGCATGCCCTCTACGCTACGGACGTCAGGTTTCAGCCAGTCTATCGACCATGCGGGCGCTTTACAGAACATAAGGTTCATTTCTCGGCAAAGCATAAGTTGTACGGCTTCAAGATTGAATGATCTGTCGCTCCACCTGGTGTTGCTGTTGACGTCTCTGTTGCTGTTGACTTCTCTGCCCACGCGCCCGGATCAACGTCAAACCTCACGACGATGCTCGACCGACTCTCAATGCACCGCCCGATGCTACGCAAGGAGGCCAATTTGTCCCCTGAAATAGGAGTGGAGCCAACACAGTTTGCTAACATCTGGGCCGTATTGGTGGACAAAGGGTATCAGGGGGATGGCCGGGTGATTCGCACAATTCAACCCAAGAAGCAACCGCGCGGCAGAACCCTCGACTGAGATGATATTGTTCGTAATAGGGTTGTTTTGGCGGATCGTGTTCTCGTAGAAAATTTCTTTGGACGGATGTGCATGCTTTGGAAAGCAACCTACGCGACCTTCAAGTGAAATGAGAACCGATTTTGACAGTGTTGCTACACTTTTCACCACTTCCATGTTGGCTAAATGCCACTGCGGGCTCACAATAGTGACCATTACAAAATGGTTCTCTCAAGGTATCAGTCTATGGGCGAGCGTGTCAGAAGTCAGCGAGCAAGCGCCCAGCGACATTATCGTATGCACCAGCAACTACGATCCCGCCCAGCGCCGTACAACCCTCGTCTATCGACGTATCAGCGCGAGACCCAGCACAATTCAGACGACCAATTCTCATTGGATTTGTAGGACGGCTATTTTCAGCCCAGGTATGCCTGCTTCTAGCTTTCGAAGGCAATAAATATTGCATTTTGGCTCTTCCTCTACGCTTGACTTTCCAACTTGCCATCAAAATGGATGTAATCAGACTAGACAGGATTAGGCAGGTACTTCATTGCGGTTAACAACCACGGAAGTTGCTAATGCCAGGTACCCGCTAATTCCACACCACGCGCCCTCTTAAACTCCACAGTGCACTACAGGGTTGGAATCTGACGTTCACAGTGCTTCGGCCCGCCACCCGCTTGGCTAATTGATGGCAAGTTGGAAAGTAAGGAGGTGTTTATTATACCGGAGGCGGTTGCACTCAATACCATTTGATTTATATAAATGCAGAACCCATTTGGTATTGAAGCAGCTCGTAATCCTATGAAATTTAATTTTAGGCCACAAATGTAGCCAACTCTTTTTCATAGGATCATATTTATCACAGAAATAACACGCTGAGCCAAAATTTGAGGCAAGATGCAAATCTTTTGGGAAAAACAGTTGGGATGTGATATTTAAGTGTTTGCTATCCGAAAAATTGCCTGTTTTACGAAAAAGCATTGAATCTGGATATATATTATTTTCACGCGAAATGGTTCGCCATACGACAGGACAAACGTTTTGATAGTGTTATCTAATGGAAAATAATCTGGATAATATGGCTGTGCATTTATATCCCATTGAATGGGATTGTGAGGCTTCTAGAAATCTGATTGGTTCCACTACCTGAAAGGTTTCTTCTATAATTAGGAATTACCAGAGCCAGTGATAAGCACTGAGATGTGTCAAAATGATAGTGAGAAGGCTATTGTTTTGGTCTGAATCAGTGAAAGCTTAGTAATAGTAATATTGGGCTGATGTAATATTTAAAGTACATTTTTAATTGAAATAGTACACTGTTATCGAAAATTCTTTGTGGTTACAATGATATATGATTGCCCATAGCAGATATTTTGCCCTCTATTTTAGACCTCTATAATAGACCTGAACTATCACTAAATCCAAATTTCAAGAGACATACCAACTCTATCCTGATTTGGCTTTGATGTAGCGGTCTGATTTGGCAGCAGCAAAATCACTTTTGCCCGTCAGGAAGAACAATTCTGCGTTTCAAACTTCAACTAGGGTTTATGTATGAGTTACGAGTTTATCACTCAGATCATCAAGCTAGAAAAGGGTGTTTTTTTCACAGTTAAGCCCTAAATGAGACCTGGCTAATTTAACTCGAGTTTATTACTGATATAATATACAAGCCTGGGCCAAAATATCTGCAATGAGCAATAACACATTAGAGATAAAAGGAAGCAAACGCTCCATTTTCCTGGTTTTCAACTAAGTACGACGATGTATCCATGTTAATGGAGGCAAAATTCCTCCTTTTATTATGAAGTACGATTACGACAGGTAATCAAACCAGAATGACCATATCACACGGAATGACACCTATATTGTGCAAGATATTGTTTCTCACTGGATTTCACAGCTGTATATTAGTTTATAATAACTAGACAACACGGTCAAGAAGTTTGTTCTGTCGTATGGTGAGGTTTTCTCACCAGGGAAGACGTCTCGTACGGTGAATACCACCACTGCCAACTCCTCGCCGGCCCGGTCCTCATTACAGGAATGGTTCATCAACCGTAGTAATCCACCACAACGGCGTCCAGACTGACGTAGGCGTTTCGAGTAGTTTTCATTTTTAGGTGCATTCTGTTGCCCTCATTCGGACGGGCGTTGTGAAATGGAGGACCGAAGTGCTCCAGATGTCCGGAGTACTGCTCGATAATCTCATCGGCAGGAATGGGATGCGTAGCGGTTATCCCGCGCATGCTTGTACGGGCATTCCAGCTGATGGCCAAGTAGAGACTCTCTTGCAGACTGTTCTCACAGCTACCCGCAAACGAGTGACTAGACGTGGTACAAAAGCGATCAAACTTGGTGTTCAAGTAACCCAGGGCGTTGCACCGACGATTGCACCCCTCCTCGTGTCCCAGCACTGACCTTGGGAAACTTGTACTGTAAATGATTGTACTGGTTAGTCAGAAATCGTACGTCGGATGCACGATTTTCGCACACCAACCGCCCCACTACGAGCTTAGAGCTGAATTACTCACAATCTCGATACAGTGCGAGCTAGAAGTCAATGACGTACTCGTCACTAAGATCGCGTCTGGACGCTCAGAGGAAGTGGCCCACGGTCTAGGCGGCATTGCTATCATCGCCATCGCTTCTGAGCCATAGCCATCAGATTCAAATATCTCCAAAAACCACGTGGGCACGGGTTGGCTATCCGTCTATCGACAGCGCCGAGGCCAATGCGGACTCCATGTCCGAGGGGCGAAGGCAGATAGCTGAGACTCGGGAGACGTCTCAATCGAAGGCTGGACACAAACTCGTCGAAGTGGAGTTTGCCCTGGATCGCGAGGGCGTAGGCGTGGACGGTGGCGAGCTCCCGGTAATTTTGGGCTGGCTGGTATTAGCATTCGCTTGGCTCGTGGTCGAACTCACCGAAACCAACTCGACGTCGCTGAGGGAACTGATCTGCATCGTGAGTGCTCCACGATAAGTGATTGATCCAGCGCTCTTCCAGAACACAACCGTGGAAATGGAGCTTGAGCCTCGGTCGACTGTGCAAATCGGCGCTGCTTCTTTAGAGGCCGCGTGGGAAGAGATGATCCCGCTTTCAAGAGCTTGCTGGAGGAGGTCGCGTGACCGTGTGAGTCTGTCTTCAAAAGCTTACTGGCAGGGTTGTTGGGAGTGGTCGTGTGGCCCGATGGCCGGCTGGAGGAATGCGAGATCTTAAGCATTTTAGCACCAGTGTTAATGTTGAACATCGCTGGATCATTGCACGCAATTACGTGTTAGCAAACATGATAATAGAATGAAAACATGAATCCACATCACCGTTTAATACAAGTGTTGATAAGAGGGGCCCGAGGCATCTCTAAGCGCAGATTATATAGCAGACGTTTAACAGATACAGCCTACCGCGTATAAAGACGACTAGACACCATATCTAGAGAAGCCTCACCGTTTCAAAAGGGGGTCGGCTACTTCCTTGATCGGGCAAGGCGAATTCGTAAATGAGGATTCATAGAGAATACCGTCGTCAACTTCGTGCGTGAAAACTGCGCGTGATGGCTGTTGAAGATCTCTCAACTTCAATCAACCGAGCCCCTAGATGGGAAGTTGTATTGAAAAGCATAGATATAATAAACTAGCGTTTGATATGATTGGAAAACAAGAGTGTGGCTGAAACAGTATATTAAACCGTTTTGTCGATTGTTTGATCCGAACATTTTTTTTTATCGTATCAAACAAATTCGCTTGTAATCACGGTGCTGAAAACAGTTCGTACGGAAGTCCGTATCGTCGTTGAAATTGAGACTCATCGTAGACTGGATTTGGGCCGAGGTAGTCACGCATAATTAAATAATGTCCTAGTTGAATGTCATGCGCTCGTGACTTCATTCGACTGTTTACTGATTTTGCATCGACTGGGTAAACTTTGTCGTCTCCTGGAATGATATACCGTCAACGACAGTGTGAGCTCGTCGTCAGCATTCACTAGCTTTCCGACGAGCTCGTCATCTGCAGTTCTAACTGGGTGTTCCATTAGTGGTAGTTATACGACGTAGACCTGGATGGTCACAGTTATATTTTGTATCTTTAATGATCCAATCAGAACGCGTTTAATTTTCCAGACAGAAAAGCCCCCCCCCCCCCCCCCCCTTCGTGTGTTGAAGCACTGTTCTTGTTAAATTGAATAAGCAGCGTAACCACACACCTTCTCGCGCAATTGATGCCACAGGAACTTGTTTTGTGGACACAAATGTATGTCTTAACACTCATAATCTAACGGTTTTTTACGAATAGTAGCTGGTCTTCTATTGAGTAGTGGTCTCCTAAACTGATCATTTTCGACAGGAGGTCTACTATTCGTAGAGGGCTTTTATTGCTCAACAATTTCGATGTCGTCAAGGGCTTCTTCCAGTTCATCCACATTGAACGGATCCTGCGTTTCGCTGTTCTCATCTCGACCCCACTGTTGCTGAAATCACCACCCATACACGTCGGTGTTCCATATGAACCACCGCGATGGGATCTGATGAAACCCGGCGGCCTCGATCGAGTTCAATACGACAGACGTCGGAGTTTCTCGCCAGGCAGTTCGTACCCAGTTGCACACTGTTTCAACTGACGGTGGGCGCGGATTACCACGTGGGGGGTACTCCACGTTATCAGAGCGCTTCCATTCGCCAAGAACGCTTGATAGTTTGTCTTTAAAGACCTTGTAGATACCAATGTCACCAGCTTGGAGGTATGGCGTTAAGCCTCCAGGAACGACCCACATGGCGATATCTTGCTGGCTGCATTTGGCTTTGATCTTTGTCGATATATGTGCTCACATAGAATCCCAAACGAGCGCTTTGACACGGACATTTACCGCAACAGGAAACGCTCGATCAATCCACCCCATGAGTAGCTCGCTATCAACCCACGCTTTTGGTCGATTAGCGACCCAGACCGAGTTGACAGTTGAAATAGTGTGATTGCCGTTCCTTTGGTTACAAATAACAAGTGAAGGCAGCTTTCGGCCTGTTGCCGTCACAGTTAGCACCTCGGTGACACGCATCGATGCGAAGCCTGTCGAGCGCAGCACAACATGACGCGAGCCAGTAACATCGACGGTTGTACCCCTCGGGTCTTCAAAATACACGGCAGTTTCGTCCATCAAGACGGTGTGCTCCAGGTAATATTTTGGAAGGTTAGTGGTGAGGTACTTCATGTAGCCAATCGCACGACCAACCAAGGCTTCGTCGGAGAGAACGGTAAGGTTTGTTCGCTTTAGGAGCGAGAGATCATTGCGCTTCATGAACTTGGAAATCCATGCGTCCGACGCTACAAAACGACTCCCATTCTCATCCAGGGAGGTGTACAGCTCTTTTACAGCCAACCCGATCCATTCTCTTGTCAATTTTTCCTTGCGAAGGCAATGGCCGATTGTAGCGTCTAGATGAAGATCTTCCAGTCCACCAATAAGCGGTTTCCTGCCGCCATCATGCAGTCGTTTTTGATGCGGTTGGGCGGCCATTATTTTCTCCTTATTGCGCCACCACTTACGAAAAGTAGAGGCACCGACGTCCCACCCCAACTTGCGAGAGTGTGACACCGCGCGGCTAGCAACACCACCTCCCGGTTCGCCGATCCACTTGATAGCGATGTCGATTGCTTGATGCATGGTAAAATGAAGTTTGTGATTGAATTGTGTATCAGAATGCGGTCTCCTGTTCGAAGCGGTCTTTTATTTCTGGAACGTTCTCGAAAAGATAGGGGCGGTCTTCTAATAGTAAGGGGTCTTCTATTCGTAAAAATCCGTTACAATGTATACACAGAATAGTACATTCTGTAGCACCGCGTTTTCATTCCAGTCACTTGAACTTTCTAAGTCTTTTATTAAGATGATCCTTTGAAAATATATACGACTTATACACAGGTAGACTGATCCGGGAAATACCGTAGCATAACCGTTGCACTCCAACGGTTTGTCGTCTGTTGTCCTGAATTTCGCAAGTATTACATGAGCACGGGTTCATTGTAGATGCAGACGCTGATGTTACAATCAAATCCCAATCAGACAAAAAATACACACATTTCTTTTCGTCCAAGTAGTCTTCTAGACTGGGAAACAGTGACAGCTTGGATGACCAAGGTTGCATTTACGGAAATGTAGATGTCGAGGGTCTTTCCAATTTTTACTATATCGATAATCTCGGTAGAGCAATACATGTTGGACTTTCGAATCCTACTAGCACTATCCTCGAGCCGAAATTTTTACTGTAGTACTGAGACTACAGCAAAGATTCCCGCTCGACGATCTGAGCTGAAACTTTTCCACATTTCATTTAAACATAGTGATCTCATACAGTGGGCGCCACAAGCTTCTAGGGACCCCTAATGTGGGGATACATCCTCTAAGAAGGTGCTCTTAGCACTGAAACTGGGTCAGTGAGCTACCTTCCCCAGACGATTCCTCTTGTTAATGTTGCCTGTGTCGGTCAGGGGCAACATTTGTGCGACCTTGAGCGTATTGTGAAATTTTAGTGTGAGTATCGGATCGGTAAATGGGTTAAAAGTGTGTCTTCGCTTTGGTTCTGATGCGCAGATTTAAACGACGAGACAATGCGGTTGATGGGAGTAGCGTGATAGTTATTTCAGTGTTGATGATAGATATATTTGACCTGGCATAATTTCCGATTATCCTCTGTTTACCTCGTTCAGGACGGCCCGCTCCAGCGTTTTTCTTCCCATATCATGACACTCAGAGGCGTTCTTAGATTGGTATCATATGACACCTCTGGTCATTTGCGCTATAGACGTGCCGGTTGAACCGTGCAACCTATCTACCTCTTTGATGACTTTGCAAGTGAACGGTTTACCTCATTGCTCACTGTGATTTTCTTGCTTGCTCTAATCCAGTGACTACCTTGTACTACACGAACATTATCACATCTAGGTACCTTCTAGGCTACGCGTTGGTGTATCTACATCTGCCATAAGAAGGACCAAAGGTGAAGGAGATTAAAACCGTCTTAGGGCCGCCAAGGGGGCTCAATGGCACTGCAATACGTCCTTGACGAAGCGCGCGACGGAGGAGCAAATTTTTAACGTTGACCGAGATTTGGCGAGCTTGTAGCTAAATCCCGTCGTTTCTTCCATAATACTGTGCACAACGTGCCCGAAAAGACAAAATACCAGAAACACCTATACTATTAACTGTTGGCGCCACACAACTCATCAATTCCACCTATATTTGAGGTGTGATACTGTATCACAGATGTCACGAGCCTGTACCCCGCCCACAGTCTACAGCTTAGACTACAGGTATATGTTGTGCATGTGTACCACATGTAAAATGTGCACCACACTTTTTTCTCAGATTTAAATCCTGCCCTCAGAGGAACCACCAGAACGACGCGCAGCGATGACCTTCTCGTGAAGCTCTTGATCGCTTTAGGGACTGTCCATAGCCACAGGGGGCCTCATTTGCTTCATCACATCTGTAGCTGGGCGCTGCTACCAGTATGCTGACCAAGTGCTGCTCTTGATGTAACAATGAGCTCGAAAGCGCGGGGAGAGTGCTCGCTGTCTATACAAAGAGCGGTCACATGTTGCTGGAGCTCCGGTACGAGCATGCGCGGCACACGATGTCATGGAAAAATGTAGCCAAGGAGGGTGGTGAGAGTAATGCACAAAGATCTGCTGATTGGTGAAAATCGCGCAAGGCGAACCGCTCAGCTGTGGTTGGATGTAGTTCGGGACGGTACTGCTAGCTAGTAAGGGCATAATTAGGTGCAACTTGGTTCTGGCACACAAGCTGCCTTGCGTTGAATATCGTGTGGGGTGAACCACAAAATGCGGTGGTGGGACGAAGTGGCAGGGTGGTGAGGCGATGTGTGAGATGTAGAAATAGCAAAGGCTGGTGGCGGTCGGTGGGTAGGAGCCGCACAGATTACTAGCGATAAGAGTGGATGAATGATTGCACTACTTCTTTGTTTCTCGAGTCTGATAGGAGTGCTCTTAAATTGCTAACAGGTCTTTCGGACCTTACCGCCCGCTCAAGAGGCGACGTTCTTTATCCCTGCCGCTGTATACAAGTCGTGCACGACCAAAGAGGACGAACCTGCCCCGGGCGGCAGGACGTAGACAAGGTGGATGCAGCGTACAGTCTTGAGGAATATGCGGCAGCCATTTCTTGTTTTCAACATCGACCTTCCAGTCAGTACCAGGTATACCAGCAGTCTCCACCCTTACGTTCTGTGCGCGAATACATGCAGTTACCGGAAGTGCCTTCTTGTCAGCCTGTCCTGCGGATCGTATACGCGCTTCAGCGGATCTGACACTATGTAGACGATATCCGCAGAGGCTGGTGCAGTAATCGCGCCAGTTAAGAAGCTGATGGAGTGTTTCATGGGAGGGGGGGGGGGGTACCTCCCGAATGATACCAGAGTTCCCCATCTCCCCAGCACGGCGAAGCGTGTTCAGACAATGCCGAATAAGTAGTAGCAAACGGCTTGCTTCGGACCTCTTCCGTCCGCACGCACAAGTGAAGCTGATCGATGAGTGTACCCATTTCCACGCGTGCCCTGAGGGTGTATTCCCGCTTGATGGCGCGGTTAAATTGCTTGGCTTGATTATTGGTAGTGGCGAATCCACGTGGAATATGATACACTTGCCAGCGCTCGAATGTAGAGCCGGGCCACACTGAGGAGAAGTAGCAATCGAGCGCACACAGCTGTGGATTCGTTGGGGGGAGGGGGATCCTGTCCATCTTGGTGCTGACGAGGTGGTCTACGTTCTTCAGCAGTCGCTGGACGGTGCGCATCGAGGCCTTCACGCTGAACTTGGTCTTGAGCTCAGCCGCGAAGTAGTCGCCCGTTGCAGCTGCACGGACAAGCTGCCGCACGTCTCGATCCAACAGCACGGGTCGTCTTTCTGCCGTCCGCGGCTCGCCACAGTCGTCGATCAGCGACCTTCGCTCTGCCTTAATTGCGCGCCGGGCTGCTGGTCGTGAGCATTCTGTTGTCCTTGAATTCTCTCGTAACGACACCCCACCGTCGCGTAGTCCGATGACCCACCAATATTCCTCCTTTGTGAGGTCTGCTCCGCGGCCCATTCGAAAATGAAAGGCTCAGTGCGGTGGCGGAAGTCTCCAGTGTGCTTGCTTCCTCCAGTCATTGTGTCTTCTAAAGTACGATACTTTAATATAGAATTTTGTATTGAATTTCATAAAAAATGTTCGTTTTGATAAAAGAAGGGTATGGTCTTGTATGCCAGCCCTACCAAGAAAAACAAAATTACATTTGTTAACACAAGTAGCATGTAGCAAGGGCTTGTAATAGTGTCATATCTAAACAGTGCCTCTCAACTCGCCCTACACACTGAGAAATCTGCAAAAGTGTGCGCAAAAGTCGGCGGTCCTATCAAATTGGCGCGAACGATACGATATCACTACCTGTATATTGACATTGTGTGATTTGTTTACAAGAAACATCTCAAGTTGACGTGAAAGTTCACTACATGTGTTGGGATTTGCCATGCCATAAATTATATTTTGATAATTTATAGTAAGGAAACCTACGTGAATTAGCATCGCCCACATCTCAGGTTTAGCGGCAGCTTATCATCGAGCTCACCGTGAGTGTAAGCCAAAGGGACAGAGCCTCACACGCCATCGTTTGATCTCGTCTCTACATGTACAATCTCTTAATGATCTTTTTATTTTAGAATTTTATTGCTGTTGTACAGCATCTATGATTCATAATTTTTGAATACGTACAGACGATCCCTCGACAGTCTTAGCCATCAATTCCCATCCATGCATGTACCACAAAAATGGACCCAAATACCTTTAGCTTGGAACAGTGCAAAAGTGATTATCGAGAGTGAATCGGGAATTGCGCCCCCGAGTGCATCATAGAAAAGGCCTTTTCTACACAATTCAATTGCCAGTTCCAATGGTTATATTGCACATTTCCTATTTGCAGCGTAGTTTTATCTTTACAAACAGCATTTTTGAAACCTTTGGAAACTATGAATATGTCGAGCACTCACGCTCTGAATCTTTCTATCTCTCTGGCTTATATTCGACGGAAACTACGCTCACGCAAGTGGAACCCGGTGGTTCGCGGCCTGGCAGAAGCCCCAACGTTGAACGAGATCACGTAGCTGCCATCAACCGGTTCAGCAAAATGTATTTTGGAGAGAGACCCATGTACACTGACAAGAAGTTTAGACGACGTTTCCGTATGAGCAAGGCCTTGTTTTTACCTCTTGTAGATACTATTGAAAGCTACGACCCATATTTTACGTGGAAGCAGGACTGTACTCAGGGTTCCGTAAAATATTATTTATATGGATTTTCTCCTCTAACGCGAATAGATACCTGCATGGTGCTTAGTAAAACTGCAAATAAATAACTTGTATCCACAACCATGGCAAATAAATATTAAGCAGCAAAGTGAAATCATGTTACTAAGCCGATGTGCTGTCATACTACCTAGATCACTGCGTCAACGGTAGTGACGTCCCAGTAGCTGCTGTTAATCTTCAGAAACAGCAACATCTCCAACATCAGCGGTGACAGTCGGTTCCGTTCGTATCGCATTATCATGCGAGCCATGCTGAACAGCCGTTCCACCTTGTTCGACGTAGGTGGTA